CTGTATGTATATCCTGTATTTAAACTCCTCCTTGAGTAGGACTGTACTCCTTCAAATGAAACATTCATTAGATTCAATTTAATTCTATAATAAAAAGAAATAATAATTCTGAAATAAAACTTGTTGGTGACTGAAAAACCAATAAAAATAAGAAGGAAATAAATCCTTATAACCAAGAATTTGGTTTTATTGGAATTGAAACTATGTTTTTGGTATCCAATCGCGTACAGAAGGAGCTTATTACGGGTACCGAAAAGTTGGTTTGTTTTAATAAACAAATTCACGCGATTTTATAATAGTTCCATTTCTCATGTGTAACAATCGCGAGAACCAAAGTACTCTGTATTTATTAATGAACAAGTTATTTTTTTATTTAATTTTGTTTTTAAAATTTTCATATTCACTCGTGATTTATTTCTTTATCGTCACAGCAAACGACCGATAATATTCTAAATATTTGACATTACATAACATGCCTTAAGATTAAGCAGTATTAATTTCGGCCTTTAAAGATTGTTTAAAGAAGGTAATATGGCGTGCACTTACCTGCATTTAACTTAATGTTACCACCACGTTGGCAGTGGACAGCAAAAAAATTGCGTATCAAGTAACTTCGTAATATCAGTAAGTATGTTATAATTTCAGGCAATAAGACGAATGAATCCATCAGTGAACGTGCTAGCACAAGAGAACAGAGTCTGCCCAGAAACAGAGAACGTATACGACGACGCGTTCTTCGAAGCTCTAGACGGAGTGGCCAATGCACTAGATAACGTGGACGCCAGGATTTACATGGACCGCCGCTGCGTTTACTACAGAAAACCCTTGCTTGAGAGTGGCACGCTTGGCACTAAAGGCAACACTCAGGTATGTACAAGTCTAGTCTACAATATAAATCCGAATGAGACACGGACCTTTGTCCGTGTCAATGAAGTCAATTCCAAGTTTTGGTAGGGTGAAACCAATGATATAGATAATTTTGTAGATTGTGTTGTTGTTCAGGATGTCAGGAAATAAGAAATTTGCAATAAAAAAACCTACACTATGATGCCGAGAACAACCAGCTTTAAATCAAAACATCTTAAAAACTTAAAATTGCCTTGTGAACGTTCGCTATTCAGAGAGCGTCAGGCGCACAAAACGTGATATTTCTAGTTTCAACATTTATGATAAGAATTAGCCATCGAATATGTAACCAGAAATAGAGACGAAACGGTCATATATTCCTGGTAACACATTAGCGATACAGCTCTTATAAATATCAACTCTCGTTTGCACTGAAATATAGACAGGCCAATCACTGACCTGTGTGTACGTCTCCGTATATTCCAAAAAATATTCTGTATTTATTGTAATAATGATAATATCTCTAACAATGCCGTGCTGTTCTATTCGGTGGTGTGGGAAAAACTGCAAAACATCCAATTACGAAACAAACGGAATCATATTTCAGCGGTAATTAAATACGTAATTTTTAAATTTTCGTCCATTATAGCAAAGCTCAAGTTAACTGGTCGATTTGAAGTGAAACAGTTGACGACACCCATTGACGACACCCGTCAATTGTTTCGAACTCGGGCTAGCCAATCGGAGCGCAGTTGTCACAGTAATGATATGGCAGAATAGTTTTCAAACAAATTAATTGATATTTCGTCTCTATTTCTGGTTATATACTCGATGGAATTAGCAAAGATGGATTTTACGTACGCAAGCGAAGTAGCGTCAAATAGCTTATTCAGTTATTGAGGTAATTTTGTTTGAAATTTGTAAATTGTTTTTAACAGCCTTCAAAATATCTTATAATTGAACTGTATGCACTAATCTCAACCTCCAGGTAGTAGTCCCCTTCCTAACGGAGTCGTACAGCTCGTCCCATGACCCCCCGGAGAAGACGATCCCGTACTGCACGCTGAAGAACTTCCCCAACGCCATCGAACACACGCTGCAGTGGGCGCGCGACGAGTTCGAGGGCCTGTTCCGCCAGGCCGCGGCCCACGCGGCGCAGTACCTGCGCGACCCGCACTTCCTGGAGCGTACCATGAAGCTGCCCGGCAGCCAGCCGCTGGACGCCATTGAGAGCGTCAAGGTGAGTTTGATTCACGTGAGGACCACAACACCCGTTGCGTTAGAGTGTTAGGCTTTAATTTGACTCGAAATTGGGTTACGTGGCACAAATTGCACATTATAATTTCATTTCAGAACGCAATAAACGACCGACCGCTAAACTTCGACGACTGCGTCGTGTGGGCGCGCCTTTATTGGGAGACGCAATACGCCAATCAGATCAAACAACTGCTGTATAACTTCCCCCCCGACCAGCAGACCACTAGCGGAGCCCCTTTCTGGTCCGGGCCTAAGCGCTGCCCGGAGCCCCTCGACTTCGACCCCAACGATGATCTGCATGTGGACTACGTAGTCGCCGCCGCGAATCTAAGGGCGTCCGTGTACGGCTTGCCTCATTGTACAGACAGGGAACACATTGCGCAAGTCGCCGCGTCCGTTAAGGTGAGGATAGCTTTAAGCGACGTGCACGAGTGCCTCGCGTAGAAGCTGGGCCAGCACTGACTGTGTTGTTTTCGTTGCGACAGGTACCGGAGTTCAGTCCGAAGTCGGGCGTGAAGATCGCTGTGACTGACGCGCAGCTGCAACAGGGCGCCGACGAGATGGACTCGGACCGCGTGCAGGGTATCGTCGGCGAGCTGCCCCCGCCCGCCAAACTGTCTGGGCTGGCCATCACGCCTCTGGAGTTCGAGAAGGACGACGATTCCAACTTCCACATGGACTTCATCGTGGCCGCCTCCAATCTGCGTGCCGCCAACTACAAGATCCCACCCGCCGACCGACACCGTTCCAAGCTGATCGCCGGCAAGATCATCCCGGCCATAGCCACCACTACGTCGGTGGTGGCCGGCCTGGTCTGCCTGGAGCTTTACAAGCTGGCGCACGGCTTTAACACTCTAGACCCGTTCAAGAACGGCTTCGTCAATCTGGCGCTACCCTTCTTTGGCTTCTCAGAGCCTATCGCGGCCCCCACCAACACCTACTACGACAAGAAGTGGACCCTCTGGGACCGGTTCGAAGTCAAGGGAGAAATCACCCTGCAGCAGTTCCTCGACTACTTCAAGAACGAGCATAAGCTCGAGATCACGATGTTGTCGCAAGGCGTCTGTATGTTGTACTCTTTCTTCATGCCGAAGGCCAAATGCCAGGAACGGCTGAACCTGCCTATGTCGGAGGTGGTGGTGAAGGTGTCCAAGAAGAAGCTGGAACCGCACGTAAAGGCGCTGGTATTCGAGCTGTGCTGCAACGACGAGGACGGCAACGACGTGGAGGTGCCGTACGTCAAGTACACGCTACCCTAGTGCTGCCGGCCCTCGGCCACTCTTCGCCACTCCGACACCTGTCCGCGACGGAAACGAGCATTTCATGGCATTTGAAGCATAATAGTTACCGTTCCAGTGATGGTTCTACACGAATTTCGCATATAGAAGGGTATTTTTACTGAGATTGTCGATGTGGATTAGTATAACTATAGTAATGGACGTTTTATAAGCTCGTGAGTGCCTCGGCCGAGTCCGGACTGGCGTGCAGAGCAGTGCGGCAGTGCGGCTGCCGTGCACGGGACTCGGCGCGTGTGTACAGTGACTACCGTGTGACGTTTTCCTTTTTTGTGCTTTGCAACACGCTTTCCAACTTTATCCTAAACTTCATATTATATTTATAGTAGATTTGTTTGCTCACATTCATCATCACGACGCGCTAGGTGATTTTATTATTTCGTGGAGTTACATTGATTTACACCAAATTTTATCGGATATTTATAATGTTGAAATCAGATGGGTCTGTATATGAAAGGAAAATAAATATTTGAGCAAAACAGCGTGCTTTTTATTAAAAATGTTTTATTCAATAAAAAAAAAGTTAGCACAAAAATATTACGCAATAATCTCACTTCAGTACAACTGAGTTCTTTGGGGGATCCGTTGGTACGATACGAACGCCAAAAAGATAAAAAATTAGTATAAGACATATTTGTAAGCGTAAAATAGATTAAAAAAATTTGGCTGTTTTGATCCAAAAATGGTACAAAGTACGAAGACATCATCACTTAACTAGAGGGAAGTAAATTTGGATAAACAGTCCATCGTGCTTTTAAAGACTACAAAGAGATCGCAACGAGTGACTAGACAGATAATTGACAATTCAGAAATAGACCAATATAAAAAGTGACACGAAGATTTAAAAAAATTCCTTATGCTTACGACAATGGCATTCACTGTTTTACAAGGGCAGGATATATTCTAAATAAAAAGCAATTATTACTTTATGCTTATGACAGAGGGTGATTTTAGACCTTTCTTTTTTGCTCAGAGTTGTTTTTTATCTATGACTTTAATTTACAAAGGCAAGATATAAATGTCACACAAGATACAAATGTAACGAAAATAATCGTCAAACCAAATCAACTATTAAAAAAAAGTAAATTTTTGAGAAAACGCAAAAAATATTTTTTAAAGTATTACTTTTATTTCGTACGTTTTGAAAAAAAAATCAATTGTCTGTTCCCTTGGAATTATTTACAAATTTCGTCACTTTATTATTGAGTGGCTTTATGGCTCAACTCACACTGGCGCAGAGTCGAAGAGTCCCGACGCGTCATGTTTTTCGCCTATATATTCATCTCTATTTTCCCACAATTAATGTACAAATTTGTGTTAGGCAAATATGGAATCGCGCGTCGTCGTGCGTTACTTGCGCGCAGTGAGGCGTCAGACACCGACCACACTGTGATCCAGGTGCGCTAATGCGAGTGTCGTCGCCTTCGCCATGAGTTGTAGTTGAAAAACTGGACACGACGCGACGCATCGACTCTGCGCCAGTGTGAGTTGAGCATATATGTGACATTATTTTAATTTAGTGCTCGCTTACGAACTTGCATATTTTTGTTGTGTCATAATCATAATATAAACTTAACAAACTGAGCCAGCGATTTGTCTTGGCTTTACTTAGTCAAAAAGGGTATTGTGAAGTTCGCTTCATGGTTACTGTATGTGCAATTACAAATCACGAATAATTCAATGATGAAAAATGGAATATTTACATTATACAGGGTGCTAACAAATTAGGTTTATAACTACTTTTATAGTCCATTTGTTTAGATACTTAACTAAATGTAAACAATCTTGATACATCTTTTTATTGAAACTTATGCTTTACAAATCAATAGGTGTAAAAATAGGCACAAATTCATATCAAGCTAAGTATTTGTATTTGAAGATAAGTACAAATCATTTAGTAAATAGACATCTCAAGATTGTTAACATTTAGTTAAGTACCTAAACAAATGGACTATAGAGCCAATTACTTACCTCATTATAAACACTTTCAATCTTTTTTTTTATGTAAACGACATTAAGTATCGCCCAAGTCGCCGGATGTCGTGAGTGTTGTGTGTCGGTCTAGTGACAACCCTAGTACACAAATAAATAATGAAGACCAAGTGCGGGTAACTAGAAAAACTAGCACAGCTAGAAGATGTTGCCACCCGTCCCTTTAGAGACCATAGACGTTTGCAATACGTCCGGAACGTCGACGTAATTAAAATACGTTTTATACATGACTAAGTCCCGCACTAAAAATCAAATAAAGATATTTTTTGTTATAGCTCACCATGCGGGTCGGCTTGCTGTGTGAATTGAACCTTATAATAAAGTGTGACTACAAAATATTACGATAATTGACCATTAAGTAGAGAATGTTGTTTAGTTGAAACTTCAATTATTTCAAAACGTATTAAGATGATTTTAAAATGGTGTATAAAGTAACAGTCTCTATTAATTAGCCAGCATTTACACTCAATGCGTTAATCTAAAAGCTTTGGAAGAATTACGAGTTTTATGAATTTTGTCCTGTTACAACAAATTTAAACTATCTCTAATTTTATTAGATCAACTACAGTAAGGAGATTGCACGGTGTCCAAGTACTACGGTAATATTGAGAAATACGAAAGATGTTCCACGGCTGACGAGCGCATCTACCATAGAGGAGTCTTGCAGCAAGCATCTAATAGATATTATTTCTACGCTATTGGTCTACATAACAAACCATAAGTTTTTTCCCCTCCGCTATTGTACTTAAAAAAAATAAGGTGGTGAACTATGGTATTACACCGTTCTACTCAGCTTTTAAATTTTAATAGAAGTTAGTACGTACTTTGACGATAGTGTAGTGGTTGTTAATATAGTTATTGACGCAGTCAAATTTATGAATAATAAAATAAAATGAATAGGTGTCTACTATCTCGTTAGCATCTCAGGGGGACAAGTTTATAAATTCGGTTTACAGGGTCGTTTTTGTTATCTCGATTTTGTTATATCATGGTCGTATTGTTTTAGGTATCTCATACAGGAATGCACAATATACTCCTTTATTTCTCTTGCACCCCATATTTTATACAATTTTAACTTGACACACTTTGCTGCGTCTTGTAATGAGCTCCCGAGGTTGTCATAAAGTGGACGTGCTCGATAGTCTATAGGGAAAAAAATTGTATGATAGTTTCTTTGTACTAGGAATTTTGTAATTGTGAAATGAACCAACAAAATCTACGTATAAAAGCTTAATTGTTCCAAACTTCCCTGTCATATAATAATAAACTAAATGTTGTTAAATCCCCATCGTTTGCAACGTTATACTTCAGATTTGTTTGTAAAATATTCATCCAAAGAAATCCTGATTTAAAAACTATTACCACGTCTTTCTAGCGTTTAAAAACACTCAAATCACGCCATATTTAATTTATAAACCGTGCGTAAGTTAACTAACTACTCACAACAGAGATATATTAAAAATAACAATGATAAAAGCGTGAGAGTTAGCCGTCGAATCAACAACAACTCGACGACGGCGCCCAGCGGTGATAAAGCGCATCAGGCCCGCGTGTTAGCGCCACGCACGTCGTATCGGGGACGTGTCGTGCCGACGTGATACTGCCCGTGATTTCTCGATTTTAACGGTCCCTGAAATAACAATAAAAACAAATTCCACTTACTCAGAAAAACATTATTAAATAGATGGTGTAAAGTACACTTTATTCAAGACAGAATTTGCGATGAATCTTGAACTAAACGTTTTAATATACAATATACAGGTTTGTTTGTAAAATATTAACAACCTCCCAGGACTGTTACTAAAATCATAAACAACAACTTTTCTTTCATGACTCTTAATCATTCGCCTGATTTTACTATGATACAAAAAATTAAAAATATTCAAAAAGATCGTTTTAAACGGTGATAGCTCTGTGCATTAGCAAAAAAAAGCCCGCGCGTTGCTAAACCAGTTACAACCAAATACATATCTAAAAAGTTTCAGATAGTACAACAAAAAGTCAAACGTTTATTTTTGGTAATTTTCTTACGTTTTATAAAGAGTCGTGGAACAAAAGTTGTTGTTCCTAATGTTAGTAATATAATCCTGCGAGATTGTTAGTATTTTACAAATAACCCTGTACAAGAAAGAAGAATTATTGCATTGCAGGCATCTCTTATATTTAGTTTCCTCGTAGGGTACATAAAAGTAGTGTTGCACACAAAGGCACAATTATTTCGGTCTCGAATGTTGTATTGGAATCCTTTGCTCCACCCTAAATTAAAGCGAACCCTACTTAGATACACAACTTTGATCTCCAGCGACATAACTAATAATTAACAAGATCGATGTGCAAGATATAAAATAAAACAATCTTTCTCGGACTAGTGTTCACTGCCTTATTTCCGTGGCAATTTTTATTATTCAAGTATTTGATTTTTTTTATTTATTCAGGTAACTAAACAGTCATATACAAACAATTATAAGAACAACGTATATAAATAGACCTATATTAAAACTTTAAATTGTACAAACGTGTGACTGATGAAAAATATTTACAAACCACCAAAATTTGCACATTACAGACCTATAGGTAATAATAAAAATATTCCATTAGAGCCACTAGAATATCAGTTCTCTCACTTATTTCTCAAATGTATTTAAGGAATTTGCAAATATATCAACATCATAAAGACACTTATCATAAAAACTACACGATTGCCTGAGAAAGGTATTTTTTACATATTTTGTAACATAAAAAGTCCTTTTTGAACGTGAGGAGATACGAGATACATTAAACGAGATTTTCTCTTAAAGATCAGCGGAATCAATTCATTGTGCACTAGCTTGTATAAAAATATATTATCTAGGAAATGACCTCTAGAAATTAGCGACTGTACGTTATTTCTTTTTACCCTATCTTCGTAGTCAATATAGCAATAGTCCAGGGACTTTAAAAATTTCTTTTGAACTCCTTCCATTCTATCGTGCCGAACTGCATACTTCGGGTTGCAGGCAACACTTACCGTGCAATATTATTTAATATTCGAGTATTGTATCGTGAAATGTTATTTAATAATTACACGATAACATACTTGAATGTTTAAACAATAAAAATTGTCACGGAAATCAGGTAGTGAAAGTCAGAGAATTACCGAAATAACTAAAACACAACAATTAAGATAAGTGAGATACGAGCACTAGACAAACAAAAACTAATATATTATTGCAACTGATGTACACTGATAGTTTTACTAAATGAACAGCAACGAACAAAACATGAACAATTCAAAAGTAAACTATGCAAAGGCCAAAGCTGAATTTTCCATTTGTTACCATTGGTTGCTTGCGTCATGATCGAGGCTACGGACGGCCGGCGACTGGGCGGGTACGGCCCGAACTTGGGGTAAGCAGGCTCCCTGCACCGCAACAAAGCTTGTAATGTCTTAATGCTAAATAATGTTCCAAAATTACACTGCAGAAAATTTAACGTCTGCTCCTTTCACCCGGGCACTCGTGTTACTGGTGAATTTCGTTTGTCATCTAGACACTACAGGCCATCGAGTATATAACCAGAAATAGAGACGAAGTAACTTCCATCCATCCCTGGCAACTCATCAGACAAATGGGCCCTATATCGCTTTTAAATATCATGAAACAGTGCAGCGTCAAAAACTGACCTGTGTGTACGTCTCCGTATGTTACAGAAATGTTCTGTATTTATTGTAATAAAGATAATATCTCTAACAAAGCCGTGCTGCTCTATTCGGTGGTGTGGGATAAACAGCAAAACATCTAATTACAAAACAAACGGAATCACATTTCACCGGTAATTAAATACGTAATTTTTAAATTTTCGTCCATTATAGCAAAGCTCAAGTTAACTGGTCGATTTGAAGTGAAACAATTGACGACACCCGTCAATATGTTTCGGATTCGGGCTGGCCAATCGGAGCGCAGTTGTCGCCGTAATGATTTTGGCAGAATAGTTTTCAAACGAATTAAATGACATATTGTCTCTGTTTCTGGTTATATACTCGATGCTACAGGCCTACCGCTTAACTGAGCCAGTTGCTGAGGTAGCTGCGCGGTACGGGAGGAGTGACAGTTTACGTAACAGTTATGTGGCGCTGCACACGGGATCATTTCAACAAGATTTTTTTTGACGATATTCAACAAGTTGATTGAGAAAAGTGTCAAATGGCTTGTCTATTCATTATAGTCAGCCTGATGTATTCCACTTCTGGGCACAGATCCCCTCCCTCTGATTCCTCTACGCACACGATCCTGAACTAACTGGACGCAAGCTTTATCGTAGCCGTCCAGTTCGTCACGTCATCGCCTCCTCGGTCTGCCGCGGGGCTCCACTGGGTGGTTACCTTCGCCCACAGGTCTTGATTAATTTCAATTCTCAATGAAATTATTTTTATTGTTGTTACACATAACACCGACTCAGTTACGCAGTAGGCCTGAAGTCACTTATACATAATATTAGGTAAACATTATACGTTTTAAAGCGATTGCTGCTTTACTGTAGGAATCAAAGAGACGAAAATATTTTAAATCTAATCTATTTTAATTTACTCTTCCAAATCGTTAATGAAATTTGTTTCAGTAATACACAATTTATTACTGGAGTCGAAGAGCGGCGATAATCATTGATAACCCACTAGGAAAACAGTTGTCTGTTAATTAAGTGGTCGACGACGCGACGGTTCGAATCCCTGTGGGAGCATGTACTTATGACTTTAATTTCTAAGTTATTAACTTATAAACATTTGTGAATGAGTTGCAAAATGCTTCTGCATAACCGTAAAGGAAAATGTAGTGTAGAGTCCGTCCAGGGAAACACTGCCATCTTACTTATTTCTAGTAATGTAAGCATTGCTGTGTTAGGTTTTTGAAGGGTAAGGGTGCTGGTGAAATTATAGGCACATGGGACTTGCCAAATTATGCGTCAGGGTGACGAGCGCAGTGGCAGTGCTGATGTTATGGACAGGCGTGTCACTTACCACAAGGCGCACGATTTTTTCTTGTCACTTATACAGGGTTATTTTTAAAATATAACCTCTCAGGACTATATTCCTAACATCATAAAGACCAATTGAAAGAAAGACCAATTCCATGGCTTTTTACAAAACATAACAAATTTACCAAAATTAAGGTTTTATTATACTATCTGATACGTATTTAATCTGTATTTGGTAGTAAGGTAGAACGTGCAAGCGTTTTCCGCGACGACTCCCACCCCCGCCCTGCACAGAATTATTACCGTTTAGAGAGATCTATTTATATATATATTTATTTTTGTATGAAAGTAAAATATGACGAATTATTAAGTCTTGAAACTAAAGATGTTGTATTTTACAAAATATATTCGTGTATACTACTGATCATGATATTACCGAGTATCTCGCACTTCATGTCGCTCTTGCACAAGCCGCACCCTGTCATGCTAACCCTACTGATGTCTGTAAACGCGGTTTGACCATCGTAATAAGACTAAAAATTGAAAAGTGTGAACTTACTCTGGCCTCGAAACTCGCGAAGTCGGTCTAGTGGCGAGGACGCGTCGCCGGGCGCGGTCGGCCGCGATCACGGAGCACCGCTCTGCCGGGCTGCTCGTTATGAACGTATCGTGCAGGTTGTAGCACGCGGCAGTTATCTACAAAACGAAACGCCTTATCTACATGCATGACAGTCCAAGACTACCAAATTGTCGAATCTTTGTTTTGTCAGTAGGAAGAAGTATTCTTCAAAATTGGCGATGGTTCGTATTTATTAAAGCCTCTATACAGGGTGGAAATTTCTAATGCCACTTGGAAGGAAAGTACGTTAAATACTGGAGATAGAAATTTTTACTTAAAGGAAACATTCCATTATTTTTAAAAAGAAATAATACTGCATTCAAAGATTTTCGAAAATTGCTAGCCACACGCGGGAATCGAACCCGCTAAAATCTTGTAAAAAATGCACCCTGTACTTTTATTAAATCAATCGATATGGCCAATTATGAGGATGAAATCTCTCTTACAAACCATGAAATCTGGAGTTATAAATTCAATGGGTCAAGTTAAAGCACTACATTAGTAACCAAACTTTTTTAATACCTGGATTGGTACAAACGGCACAATCAGATGGCCTGCGAGATCACCAGATCTCACCACTTTAGATTTTTTTGTGGGGGTATGTTAAAAATCAAATTTACCTTAAATCTGATCTGATAGATCTGAGGTTCAGAATACGATTTGTAATACAATTCATCACAACACGTTATTAAACGTTACTCAAAATTAATTCGTTAAAAGATTAATTTTGTGGTAATCTAACTAATTAGTTAGATTACCATTTTTTTCGAATACGTTAAGATTTCATGGTTTTTTTTTTTCATTTAATTAACTAATTTTGTGAGAGTGATTTTATTCTTATAATTAACCCTATCGATCAATGCAATAAAAGTGCAGGGTTTTTCAGATTAAAGCGGGTTCGATTCCCGCGTGTTGCTAGAAATTTTCGAAAATCTATGAATGCAGTTTTATTTCTTTAAAAAAATAAAGAAATGTTTCCTTTAAGTAAACATTTCTATCTCCAGTATTTAGAGTACGTTTCCTCCAGGTGGCATTACAAATTACCACCCCGTATATGGGACGATTTGTTTTCACGATAAGTCCTTTCAAAATAATCGAAACAACGAATCGTTTAGTAATTAACCTAAACCCCACTGAAGAGCGATGGATCGATACGATTATCTAGTGACGTAGGCCCACCTCAAATTTGCTGCACTCTGTATTTTCACGATTACAAATGTGGTTCGTTCGGACAGTCTCCGCTCAATTGTGTTTTTATGTTGGCCTGCTGTCGCTACCTTTGTGTTTTTCAAGATATCGTTTTCATTTTCACAATTTTATTTATTTTCTAATTTTAAGTAAAATAATAATAATGTTGACTAAGTTAGGACTAGGCCGCGCTCATTGCCGCCATTGCTGTGCCGCCCGGGGTCATGGCCTCCTCTGCACCCCCCACGCCACGCCTTTGCGATAATCGTGCCGATCGATCGAAGCGAGAAATCGTTTGGGGGGCTAAAGGCCTTTATGTTCTAATCAAGATGAAAGTCTCGAGTTGGAAAACTTGAAACACTCTGGAAACAAAATGCTGACTGGTGTCATCAGAGTTTCTTGAAAAGATTATTTCCCATAATCATTTTGTAACCGAATGATTGAAAACGATATTATTTTCGGATCAATGATCAATAAAAAAATATAATCACGTGTATTTTGGTCACAGGTGACAATGGGACGTAGGTCCGAAATGTTGTTATATTTACGTAAAAATATAGCAAGAATTTATGTAAAAAACAATTATACTCGAATTAGATCCGAAAAAAATAGTTTCATTTGTGAAAACTGTAAAACTGGTTAATGTCATGATTTATGGTTATTAAACAAAAGTATAACTACGTTTTATTATGTAGTAGTACACAAAAACTACAAGTATTGAATGAAAAATTATGGATTCAATTGAACATTATCTGAAACCTAAAGTGCATCCACCATCTTCATACAAACCACATAAACATTCCCCGAAAGAAAAGACTCTCATCGTGTAAGCCGCCGTTAAGCAAATAACCCGCCGTTAAGCAAATAACCCGCCACCGATGGGAACGACGGATGTAAATCATCAAGTTAAGTAAATAATGAATGCCAATCACACCAATTACGTCTCAAACTTAGTTGGCAATTTCCTGTACCTCCTCATTTCAGAATGTTAACACACTTATTAATGCAAAAGCGGCTTCAACTTGTTAATGTAATTAGTTGCAGAATGTAAGTTATAACATCTACTGTACAAGATTTCAAAGTTATTTGGCTTTGACCCAAAAAACTATATAACATTATATAACATTGATAACATGACACTAATGATAACATTAAACTCGCCAGCGTAACGAAGCGTCTTCAGGTCTCTTTTATAGACTTTTCAATGATTTACATCCGACCCCTCAACAGGTATAATGTCGCACCTGCTGAATAAGCCGCCTGTGCAAGTCAACGTCGGCTCCTCGAATGCCCTCCCTGTCCTGGTGCAACTGCAAGGCGCAGAGCAGCGCGTCGTGAATTGTCGCCACTGTCGCCTGCACGCGTTCTGTCCGCATCAGACGTCGGACTAGGTAGCCTTTGGCATAAGCCACGATCTTTGTTGCTGCTTCTCGCTGGTGCGATCGGGTTACATTAAATTGGGCTTCGAATGAATGTGAACACCGTGAAGACACGATAATTCAGTTACAAGTGGATGATGGGATTTTTTCAAGAAGACAAAAGAAGGATCAAGATAGATTCAACTGTAAATAACATTGACTTACAAATAAATGGACGACGGGTCTAATACAAAAACCACGAAAAAAATGTCCCAAGTCAACCTATTTAAACGTAGTGACATGTAAAGCAATATGAAAAAGCTAAAACGTTGAATTTAAATTGTAATGTTATCGCAGTACTGTCTAATTTTGCTTGCTTCGCTGTCAGTCGAACAAACGAAGACTAAAGCGTGAATGACGCTCTGTATACGTTTTTAACGCCCTATACGTTTGGACACTTTTTAGCGCGGACCCGACGTCCATATAATTGTAAGTCAATGGTAAATAATGACTGATAATGACATTTGTCAACTGACTCGATATTAAAAGGAAATAAACACAATTGAAATATCGAGCCTCACAATTGAACACAAAAGTTGAAACACAATTGAAGAAATTTTTTTGGGTATTGGGATCGAATGAATGAAAATACGAGTTTTGGAGCAAAACTGAAAGCGACAGGAAACGGCTGGATTTGTAGGATTATGGGAATCAGGGAAGAAATTGTGCGAAACCATTAACCGGAAAGAAGAAAGGATAGACAAAAACATAAACACAGCAATAAGAAACTAAGCAGTGCTACATTCTGGACAATGAATACTTAAATTTTCGTAAAAATACTGAAATTACATAATATATTATTGTAAATACTACTCAATGAATGAGATTAATTTTAGTTTAACAGTAAACAATTAAGACAGAGAAACTAATTTCATAAAAACAATAAGTTGTTTTACCTGTTGTGTGGTGCAACTGACCAACTTTCTTTGATTAGTGAGAGCTGTCATGGCGTGCATTGTTTTCTGTATAGAGTTTTCCAAAGACCTGATTGCATTATTTGTGCATTTTGTATTACTAATAATATTTCTTCGGTGGACAGTCCCAGGCGAGCTTGAGACGACTTGACAAGTACTATTTTTGCAAGAATTATTTTCTTCACTATTGTCTGTAGGAAACGACACGTTTAGATCGGCCATCGTATCGTTCGTTTGGTCTGTCAACAGTAGCTCGTTATCAGAAGTCATACCGCTGTTGTCATAATTCAATTTTCTGGAAGAATTGTGTTCAGTCACAACTTTGGTTTGTGGTCTTGCGTTATGATAATGATTTACATTGCTCTTGTGGCCGCTTCGCTTCAGCTTATCTCCGCAATGAGAATAGTTGCCAGGGAATGTAAATGCCGACATTGGCGAGATGGACACGGGACTTTGAGGAACTAGCGTTTTGGCGACTGGACTCTGCTGTCCGCTCGCAGTAGGCGTATGGTTAATCAACTCACTCAAGCTAACCGGACCTCTCTCCGCATTATACTCCTTATCGCACCAAGCCTGTTTTATTTCTACAGTAGGTTCTGGGCATATGCTTTTCAACTGCTTGAAAAGCATGTTATTTTGTTCATCAAAAACTTGCTGGAGAAGTATCTGTTCCTGCTTTTGTTTTTCCACCAAGCAGGCCATTTGATCTAACTGCTGTTTCTGGATCTTTTCATATAGTTCCCGTACTTTGGTGGCAGGGTCGTTGGCTGCTGAGGTCGCTGTATCACTGATTTTGGGTGATGATTCTTTTATTTGTGTGGGAGGTTTAGGAGACCCATCATTTTTATTAATTTTATTCATGGCTGCGTCAGGTTGGCTGTCTCTTAAATTATTTTTTAGTGGTACATTTATTTTACTAAGTCCAAATTTAGATCGTTGAATAGGATCAGATTTGGGTGATTTTGAGTATTTTGGTATTGGTTTCCTATATTTGCTTGCAGTGTATGAGGATGGAATTTGTTGCTTGGCACACGTTTTGGCAATGCTATGTGAGGTGATTCCTTGACCAGTATTTTTCTTAAGGTCCAAAGCCATTGAAGACCATTGGCTTTTTGCTGTCTCCAGATCCCAGCTTCTCCGTCTCTTCTTTTTTTTCAACTGGGGGATGTTGGAAAGCGATTCACTCATAGATATTAACTTGAAATCTACTCCCATGTTTCTGGCCTGTAACTCCAAATGTTGGATTAGCAAAGGACTTGGTTTGAGTACAGTATAGGACCTCTGGCGCACCAGTGGGGAGGATGAATCTTTTGAACAATCAGCATTAATATCATGCAATGATCCTGTAAAACTTCTCAATGATGTTCCTTCTATTTTAAATGGTATGAATTCTTCCTCAGTATTGTTATAATATGTATTTGGTAGTGGGTTACACTCAACTTTGCTTGATGAAATGTCGCTAATTTCCGTGTCCTCTTTTCTTAATGTCTGCATCATGTCCAGTTCTTCTAAAGTTTTATGTATTTCTGATTCTGTTTTTGTAGAAGCTTTTGTCACTACTGTGTTTTTCCCTAATAAATTACCTTTATCCTTTTTTCTTAATACTTCTCCACCTCCTTTCTTTTTTACCAAAGGTTTCCGTTCTGAATCTGAATTCTTTATAGATTGGTTTAATTCATTCAAAAGCATGCCCACTGGTTTTTTTGGGCAGTTATAATCTCTTTCTGGTAATTCAATGGTAGCTGTACCTATTTTTGAATTGCTGTTTTCACACTTGGTGGTATTTTTGATGCTCACATTAATCCCAAACATCATGTCCATGGTTTTGTCCAATGGATCAGTGGTTTTTAAGGTGGCATTAGAATTGATAGCATTGTACACATTTTCCTTAAGAGGAGAAGTGGGATGGCAGTACCCTTCAAGAAGGCATGAAGCATCATCAACTTTGTCTTTGGCCTCTGAAAGCTCCATAGCTCCAGAGACCACTTCAACTGGTTCCATATCCAAATATGGTCGCAAAGTTTTGATCCTTTTCTCAACTTCTTTAGCCAACAGTTTGTAATATTGCATTTCCTTTCTGCACTCTTTTGATAACTGAAAAAGAGCATTTGTTATTTTAAAAGAATCACACTATAAGTTGTACAAAATGTAAAGATATCACCTCAATAATTTTCTTTCACATTTTTTATAATTTTCTTACAAATTACGTTCTCTTGTAAATAAAATCTTGTATGTTGTGTTATTTGCTTGCATATTATTTAAACACAGAATTTTTGCTGCAAATTATAACAAAAGGGTTCATTTTTAATACTAAGTACATTGCTTTTAAGCTGTAAGAGCCCAATGCAAATATTCCAACATAAATAAATATAACTTGCCATTCAATCAAAACATGTAACTCTTTTTCTACCTTATCTAAATGTGATGTTTTTTTACACACTCATTTGAAGTTTGAAAGTCAGTACAGCATGGGTTCCCAAACTTTTCGACTCACCGCCCACTTAGGCAAAATAAAAAAATTTCAATTCCCACCACCACAAAAAATAATTGAAAACACGTATGTTTTAAGGACTACTATGGGGAACTATGCAGTTCAGTCTCAAAACGAGGAATTATGCTGAAGTATGAGAGCATTTAACTCCAGGAATCACCCAGAACTAACCAACCAATTTACTAGAGAAGCTTGTGACATCATCACCAGCTGTATCACGTAAAATAGGCACCTAGATATCGAGTTGGGGATATCAGCTTATTACAACATGTGACACCATCGCCAGCTACATTGTTGCTTAACCCTTTCAAGTGCAGTACTTAAATAGTGCTGCACACAAAAAGGTCAGTATTTTGCTGTAGTGCTTATATTGATTCAATATAAAATATTCATTACATACTTTAAGTTGTACAATAGAACATCTCTTATGATTGTGCTTATTGGGAAGAATCTGACTTCCAGGATACAGACAGCATCATACTAGTATGAAGTCAGAGCATCACAAATTTGTAATACTTCATTTATTTGATAAATAAAGATTATTATTATTATTATTATTCATGTCTGTAAATCATTAAATTTTGGCAGAACATTGTTGATACTTCTCTATGGAAACGCAGAAGGAGGCAACTTGGAAATTGCATTGTAAAGCCCATAATTGGTTTTTTGAGATCTATATGGCAAAATGGGTCACCATTTATTATAATATTCTAATATTTCATTTTACAGTAAACACTGCTGTTTTTCTTCTTCTTTTAAATGTTATAGCCCCAAAATAATCGATGATTTCGACAATACAACTTAGCCATTCTTAATAAATCTTAAATATGAGCAGTTACATAGTTCATAGCAGCTCTCTCAGCATGGTCAACTTAACTGCCCAAACTGTCCACTCGAAACCTAAATATTGCAACCTTGTCACAATGAATTCAAGGTACTCTTGTTATTAAAATGTAATGCATCTTAAAATCACGAGAAAATTATAGCGCAATTTAAATTAATGAGTTCTCTTCATGTTGTCATTGTATGTACTTAGTGGCTAGGAGGTATACGGATCTCATAAAAATTTATGAAGTAGATAAGTAGTTCAAGTGACTTCAAATTGTAGAGTATGACTCACCACTGGCGGCAGCAGCGGCACACCATTTATCTTCATAAAGGATTGGTACTGGTGCGAGCGGCGCACAGATTTTACATCCCACGGGTCGTTCATGTCGGTATCTAAGCCCAGCTATTATAATCCTGCGAATTTAACCTAGCTCCCGGTCCTGAATTATTACTTAATCCACAGCAATGCACTTAAAAAGAATTTGCAAGGCAGCCCGGAAATTATATAGCACTTCTCGATCATCCCCGATCAAAGGGAAGCTAATTTGATTGAAAGCTTCTGTAATTATAGTGTCACGGACTGATTACTACTGACTTCCGTCACTTAATTTAACTGTTTTGAAACTATAATTTAAATCATAATTGTATTTCTTGCTTTATTCCACTCACTTATTACAATTGGTTTAGAATTTTTGTTTTGCGAAAGAAACTAAGGCGGTTCGCGAAGAACGGTGATTCGACAAACTATAATTTGAAATTTGCAGGTATGATCTCATTGACTAAACAGTTTTTTACCATATTGTTCGCAGTATTCAACCAATTATTTAAAAGCATGGTTGCTGTTTACCAATCAAAATGTACTCATTATTACTGCTCAATAATATAATGTTCATTGAGAACATACTATAATTTAGTTGTCAAACAATCTATGTTGTCATAGCTACTTTGGCTAGGGAACCGGCTACAGCGAAACACGTAGCGTAGTAATTGGCTATTTGCGAAGGCAAAGCCATTAATAAAAAAAAAAAATGGTGTCGCCATCTCTTGTCAAATAAGTTTGTACCATAATATGTGATACACACAGACATATAGATATTATGTCTATGATGATCTTGTGATGATACACTATACTTGAGATAGTACTCTCAAATATAGTGGATAGTACACTTCAGTGATTGTTATTTGTCACTCCATACCTATTGTTTGCAGGAATTGCAGGCGATCGAGAAGGACCTAAGAAATTAGTGCAGACTGAAGGGAAACAACATCAATACTTTTTTGAATTTGATAAATATCCTAATTTTTTAATCGTAAAAAGAAACGCACTTTTGTCAAAATGTCAAAATAAATGTCCGTATCTCATGAAACGCAATTGTCAATTTGAATGTCATTGTCAAATTCTTTACGTGATCGTGGGCGATGTCTTTACTATATAGAATGTACATTTGTTTTCTTTTACACGTGAAACATTCATAAGACCTTTGTTTTGTACACGTAAATTTAATTAGACATATATCTTAATGTGTTTTAAGTAAATAAGCTTACTTTTGGTGTCAATATGGATGCATTACCGTGGAGAATATGCTTAGCTGGGAGGCAAGCTTTGATCTGCTTTTCTATGTCAGTAATCGTGTTTGGAATGTCTATTTTTTCTGGCAAAATATTCGGGCACACAAAAGAATTGTGGGCCCTTGCCTTCTGGGGCCCAGCGCTATATTTCTGCCTCATTAGCTTCGCATTAAAATACTTGTACAGAGGATTTCTTTATGAGGTAATATATTGACTAATTGACTTACGAATTTTATTTTCTGCCTGATGTATTAACTTTTTTCTGTTTAAGCTTTTATATTTATGTTATAATACTTGCAAAATAGGGGCTCCAATGTTGAGTTACAGAAAAGAGCCATACCATACAATACTTACACTATAATAAGTGCCTATATTACTTAAATATAATTCCAAACTAAGCTTTATTCTATGTAAAAACACATCTAGTTTTCAAGTGTCTAGAATCAGTCTCAAAATGCAACGACACAACACAATTTTTTGTACTTATTCTAAATAATGTTTTAAATTTTAGGTATCCATACGTTCAACATTCCTCGGGGCAGCTTTCATAATTGGCTACTTCTTGTCGACCTTCAGTGATGGTGTGGCAGTTTTTGGAAAGTACTTAGCCATACTATCATTCTTCCACTTCTCAGAGTTTATGGCCGTGGCAATTCTGAACCCACGGACATTGACTATAGACTCTTTTATATTGAATCATAGTGTTCAGTACTGGGTAGCTGCCGTTGCTAGCTGGGTGGAGTGGGGCTTGGAGTATTATTTTGTCCCTAGTGAGTTCACATTTAATTAATTTTGTAATTTTCTTTTTATTGCATTATGTGTCCGTAACACCAATCGCAGATGTGGGCTAACATGTGGGTAAACTGAAATGTAACTGGACTGGTCACATTTGCTGCATGTCAGGTGAGTCATGGGCAAAAGCCACCACGAAATGGATCCCCAAAGACAAAAATACAACCATGCGGCAAACCAAAACGTTGATGGAGAGACAAGCTAGACGCGCACTTAAAAGATTGGACCTCTGTAGTGCAAAACTGAGAGGTGTAGTTTTAGTATTTCGAGAGAATCATTTTAATATTTTTTAGAGTAATATACAACGTCATTGGCACTCAGTGGTTCGTACTGTTGATGCAGAATGAGGTTCGATTCCTGGTAGTACCAATTTGGGACACAAACTGACACTGATATTGGTGTAGCATACATTTGATGCCTGCCTTTTAATATTATATAATTACTTTTATTATTGTATAATTATGTCCAATGTAATATGTAATATGTCCAATGCAATGATGTAATTTTAGGTATGAAAACATGTTTTTGGTTGTCCACAATTGGAGTCCTTATGTGCATTGCTGGTGAGGTCTTCAGGAAAGGAGCCATGATCACTGCTAGAACAAATTTTAACCATACAGTAAGTTAAAGTAGTAAATGGAATATTAATATTTTTATAAACATTTTTAAATATGCATAAAGTTACACCATGAAGGTCCTTGTGTTTGGACTAAAATAAAAGATATGATTTATTTTGAAATTGACCTTTGATTGGTGCTGGTGGTGTGCTAAGTGAAACTCAAATTTGAATATTGAAATATATCCAAAGATTAGAATTGTATAAAATTGCTGCTTTTGTGTTTAGGTGCAGTTTGTGAAGCTGCCAGATCACCAATTGGTGACGCATGGGGTATACTCCTTCTGTCGACATCCCAGCTATGTCGGATGGTTCTACTGGTCCATCGGCACTCAGGTAGACTTGATCATTTTACAGATAATCTTGCCAGTTAGTTAAGTTGCATTACACAAGTAAATTCTAGGTTTATAGGCACTCGGGTATAAATAATTTTTACATCTGTTGATAATCTACACTTATGATTATTGAATCACCTGTATCATTGACCATATAATAGAGAATGTTTTAGTTTGTACACCTTCTGCAGGAATAAGTCAGCACTTGGCCATTGAAATGTATTAACGCAAAATTGCTAGCTAATGATGACAATGTATTATTTTCTGATTCTAGATAACACTGCTAAATCCAATCTGCACAGTGATATATATGATAGCGTCATGGAAATTTTTCAACGAACGAATATACGCCGAGGAACTAACATTGCTAAGTTTCTTTGGATCCCAGTATGTCGAGTACCAGAACAAGGTTGGCACAGGCCTGCCCTTCATTAAAGGATATGTGCACACAGGTCAGAGTCTTAAGGATGACCATTGGAGTTATTAAAACTAGCCGTCGATTGACGTAAGTGCTTGTTAAGCTGAAATTACTGCTCAATTTGTAATCTTCTGGTACTGGAAACACCGTTAACACATCCTACCCGTTGATGTCCCAAGAGACTTAATGGGTCGTAATCTTTTATTGATTTCTTTTCTTCTGGTAGTGGAAAGAGTAGTATATCCCACACTACCTAAAAGTGTTAAACACTAATATTTAGGGATTGCTTGATTCGTGGCGACATCCGTAAAATTATGTTTGTATGTTGTACCATACGCTTGTGTACTTTGAAGAGCGTTATGGGCTCCATATACGCGCATTGACTTATCCATCAAAATTTCTGTAAGCCTTTTATGAAAGTAGCATGTACTTTTTGTACTTAGACATATTGAAAAATTAATTAATCATATTAAAAAATTAAAAAATAGTAACCCACTTTCATTAACGATGATCTAAATCAACTTAACTTTTAACACGAAATAAATTCCATAAACATGCAATAAATAACCTTTTTGAATAATATTTTAGCTACACACATATCATATACTCTCTATAATGTGTTCAAAAACCACAAATTACTACCAGCATAAAGGTAACTGTTTTGTTAGAATAAATTTCTTATCTGTGAAAATGTTATTATTGCTATTCGATGTTCGAACATCTCTGAAAAACAAAACAATTTGATTGGACATCAATTCTAATATCAGTCGAGATGAAGTTTTATTGGAAATTAAATGTCGATAGCAAACAATTTTGACAATTTCACATGTTATTTGATATCGAGATATGATAGTTGGGTCTGCCATTTCGCCAGTCGTAACATGCGGTTCCTGAACACATCGCTGAGAGATTATAATATGTGTGTGGATAAAGCAGTGTATGTAACAGTACATAATTAGGCGTTAAAACACTCGTGAGATGTTTATATGAAATTTGCCTGTCAGCATCGTTTCATAAACCCTCCCTCGTATTTTAATGCTTTTAATTACGTAACAGTCACATAAACTACTATGTTTTTATATGTGGAAATCAACAATTAATTTGACTTCAATATGTAGATGGCTTCTACAAGATTTCCCAAGTGATTTTGTCTTATCTGGACACTTTCAGTTACATCTGCTGTATTATTTTATGAACCCCAGTTTAAAAAAGAACCATTGCGCTATGGAATTTAATATGTAGTCAGATTCTTAAAACAAATGAAACATTTAAAAAAAGTACCAGAGAGAATATTTATCTGTTGACGTAAACCGAAAAAGGGAAATTTTAATTTTTGTTACCATACATCTTTAACTTTGGTTTGGATTTTCATTTGTGGCGAGATTCTCCAATTCACAAAGCACAATAGCTCGTTAACAGGGCGCTCTTCTCCTCTGTCAGCGAGCTTGATGTGTGTGTGTGTTAATGTAGTTACCATGTTTTATTTATACATGTATGTACTTTAGTATAAACATGTTGTACAGTTATTATCTAGTCAATTCGTAGAAATAAATTCGAAAGTAGTATGAGAACAAATTGTTGTGTCGAGACACATTATTTAAAAAAAGGGATAATTACAATCTTATAAGACGAATTTTTAGTGTATATTGAATTTTTTTTATTGGTAACTTTGTTGCGCACAAAAAAAAATCGAAGGTTCCTTCTCCCATTTCATTAATTAATGAACTTTGCATTTACTTATTTATGACTTACTGCTTAATTTTTGCATTGATGTATTCACCTATTTAGGCACAATGATATTGTTTATTAATTTCACTACACTACATGTCGGTAGTGGCAGGGAAATACAATGCATTTATGTGCTGTGTGAAAATGTTTATTGAAGTTTGTTTTTATTAGGGTCAGTGCAATCAGGCGGACTGGAAGACGGATGACATTAAATGTATCAATGTTTATTTTATGCTATTCCAAAAGATATGTAGGCGGTTTGTGCTGGCCCTTCTGCTACTAGTCAAGTGTTTTGAAACTTTGAACTATTTTATCGTAAAATTTTGTTAAATAAATTGATGCCAAACTTAAAGTGGACTGACATTTTACGATTTTACGTAATTGTGCTGTAAATTATTGTTTTTAATAACCACAATAATCTAACATTTGTAAGATTTAAAAAATTAATAAACAAATTAGGCAAACTATTCATAGCAATAATTATCAGGTACTTAATTACCAAATTACCTAATAACATTTTCTTAAAAATATTTTCTTGTAACAAAATTTAAAAAAAAAAAATATTTTTTTATATATAAAGTGTGTCTGGAGTCTGAACTGTATGTAAATTATATGTAAGTTAGTATATTATGTACAAAGGTTGTGAATGTTTGTTAAAAATACGTATGTATGGATGTTAATAAATTTTATTTATTTTTACAGTACATTACGGTGTTTTACATTTCGACCCACCAGACCTATGTCACACCACTAATATAAAGATGACGAAAGTTGGGTGAATGGTTGACATTAAAATGTGCATTTTATGTGCATACTTCTTTTGGTAATCGTATTCACAACAACAAACAACTAAAGCTAAAAAAAATCGTAGTAAACTTTTTAACGTTTCATGTTTCTCTCCTATAAAAAGACCTTTTATAACTGGTCCCGTGTACGTACGTAACTTACCCTACCGTGCCTTCCTATGATCATTCCATTGTAAACTTCTTGACAATCAGTTCTTAGACTAGTAAAGTTGCGAGTGGAGAAAGCATGCTAGTTAGAGCCTGCCCAATGGAGAATGTGCATGTTACTTTTATGTATTGTACATAATGGGAGTGTGAACGCTGGTTTTGTAAAAGTATAAATTAAGTTTGCTTACACTGCTCGAGCAAACTAATATTAATCTACTATTGCAACTTGGACAGAGGTGGTGGCTGGCCATATTTTTGTTAGGGTTGATGATGGAGCAGAGGTCGTAAAGTGAGGTACAGTTACATAAACATGGTGGTACGCTTACTCAGATTAATCGAGGAGGACAGGTGTACAGGAGTGGCTGGATAAAAAAGGCGAAAGATGACTGTGGCGTATAGGAAATGAAAGTATTTTTTTTTTCAAATAAAAAGGTGATAAAGTCATCAACCAGTTATGTTTGATATTAATGCAAACCAACCTATTTTTCACCATTGTTACAAAAGTTATTAATTAAATACCTTATTTTTACATTTTTCAAAGAGACATTCCAATTAACACTACATGTGTTTTACAAAATAATTTTATTTTAACAATATACATTTCATTATTAAATAATAATGGTAATTTAGTTTTCAGTTAAAATAGTGCTTATGACAACGTAATCTAGTTCTACATCTGCTATGTTCCATGCCATGCGTATTTCTGTTACTGGATCCACTGAAAAACAGCGTCGTAGCACCTTCTGTGATACCTACAATAATACGCTGAGTGGAAGACGGATTCCGTAGCGGCACAGCGCACACGCTGCCAGTTGTGTTCATTATTATTCGTTACATTAATTATTTATTTAAGTTTTCTTCTGTTTTATTTTTGAATGATTACCTATTATTATTATTTTCTTCTTTTCTTTCATTCTCGTAAATTGTTAAATAGTTTGTAATAAATGCTGATCATGCTGTGCTTTCAATTTTGCTTTGTATCTAATTTTGTAGTCGCAAACTGTTACCTATGTATTTTTTTTTAGTAAGGTAATGTGTGTGTACTATGTCTTACACTGAATAAATGATTTCTATTTTATTCTAATTAGAATCAATTGAAACATATTAATTAGCACTGTAGTCTTATGTCTGCTTGAGACTTTTCATCAGAGGAAATACTGAATCCCAAAGTGGTGGTAAGGAGAAACCATCTTCCCTGTTGAAATTAGGATGTTTTTCATTTCAATGACCTCTCGCAGCATCCCGGGTAGATAGTGGACTTTTTTTGCAAGGACCTGGGGTTTGTCGAACTTAATTGACAGACTGCAAACGGCCCGAAACGTTGGTTTAAAAACAAAGCGATTTGCATCCCAAAACATAGTTCCTATTTTCCTTTGTCTAACTATCGCGAAAACCTAAGAACTCAATATGACTGTGACGTTATTTAGTTATTTTCTCCAGCTGTGTACATCCAAATACACTAGATCTGTCGATAATTAATTATGGTCTGTAGATAAATGCTCTCGTTTTACACTTTGCCTGTGCCAGCCCTATTGACATATAAAGTCGTTGCATTGTATCCAAAAAAGTTTATGTGTTTCGGCCCTGTAATGCCTAACTTTGTTTCCACATTGAAATATCAACATTCATTGTAATGACCGATAGCGGCGCGCACGCCATGGTGACTACGCTAGTGTTCATTTTCGTTATCGAATATTTACCAGGTAATTATTACGTGTATTATGAGGTTGTCCGGAAGAAAATATCCGGACATTACATCGGTGTCTGAGAAATATATAGTTCTTTTCTTCGTTGGTGAGAATGGATCTCAATGAAATGCTACTTAAGTCATTTTTATTCCTGTGAAATTGAACAGGTTACCTTCTGTCTAGAAGGAGAATCTTCCATTAAGTTACTTCACTGATCACCTGTCGAATACTTTTCTTCTATCCGAATTTTGGTTTGTAGTTTTGTAAAGGAGCTAATTTTAATAGCACCTTTGAAATTTCTGAGATGACAGCAACCAGGTTGCTTTAGTAAAATGCCGTTAATGTTCCAGGCAACGTGCTAAATAAATCGATAGAGTCGGCCGTACAACTTTTGGAAATGGAGAACATATCACCATATGTGGGAAAGTGCGACGACAGATTAGCAGACCCCATCTTGCAAACCGTCAGTCGGGAAAAGGACCTCATTGTCATCCCCAAATATAAAGTTAATCAAGAACCAGAAGATAGTAAACAAGATAATTTAAACGTCAATACGATAACAAAAGAAATCTCTAAAGAAACAGAAATGGAAATTGAGAAAGTTCTCGAAAGTTCTTTTAATTCTGTAAATTCGTCTTCCCCGGAAGTGACGAATTTTGTTGATGACAATAAAAAGGTTATTGTTGAGGATGACAGTAAATGCGAAAACGACAGTACTGAGCACCATTTCGATGTAACAAGAAAACTATCGATTAAAGTAAGTTATCCGACTTTAGCACCATTTTTGGCCGCCATCTTTGAAAGTGTGGAAGACGTTACAGCGCAGACCTGCGGTGGGATCGTGCTCGCTCCAGAATGGGTGTTGACAGCTGCCAGTTGCATCAACCTGTTATATAACTTGTATACGAACCAGTAAGCATTTTCCTCATTTTTATATACTTTTGTACCATGTGACATAAAAATCTTTGCGTGATAATTTGGTAAGTTCATTTAGTGGTTGCATTCTAAGTCGGTTGTTAGATAATATATACATCGTGAGGCCGTAGCGCAAGAATTGGTTTCATATATCTCAGGAAGGCTTCAAGAAATATTCTATTCATGCAGGAGAAGAATAACAAACGTTCTACTCCTATACTCTAGCCAAATTCGATGTAGAATGTTTAATAACAAAACGTTGCTAGGCAACCAATGATGGCATAGGAAAAGAATATTTTTTTCAATGCTCATTATTAAGGCTTGCTCTGCCCACGGCCTGCTCCCTTAATTGGAATTTAAATAGGTAATTAAGTAATTGGGTTATGTAGAACTTACCTAGACAATTATTATAAAATTTACAAAATACCTATTGATACGTATGATTTAGGAATAAAAATAAGTCGTAATGGTAGATGAAAAGAAACAAAATTGTAAGATTTTATTTGATATTAATTTACCACATTTAAAATCATCCAGCATCTATTTCCGGTTCTGAACTTGAATTACCACTAGGACTCGAATGTTTGCAATCTCTCTCTTCAAATCAAAAAGTCACTAGGGATGACACAGTTTTACAAATAATTAATTACTGGTCATTTTTATGTCATTTTTAGGTGATTTGAAACTTCTGTTGAATAATATTCATTATAAACATGGCTTCAAGATTTAGTATTATTCACAATCTAGTTGAATTTCGTAGGAAATTGTTGAAATTGTATAGTAACTGTGAAAGAGTCTGAGATGAAAACCCTAAAAATCATACGTTTTTGTTTGTTGACATTTATTCTACATCGAATTTGGCTAGAGTATAGGTACTGTAGAATTCTGACGTTTGTGTGCAGCATCCGATTTGTATTCGTTCCAAACCCGATACTATACAAATCTAGAAAACTCGGACCGACTTCGGGTGTCGCTTGTGCACTAAGCCCGATTCGAATCCCAGAAAATACAAATGTCGCTTGTACACCTAGAGATAAAATGATCCCTGTGGCAATTCGGACCGTCATTTCTCGGATTAGGAACCGATACAAATCGGACGTAGAGCGCAAACGCTCGTACAGAAGTTACTACATGTATTAATTAATATACTTCGGCTTAACATATTTGTGGACTTCAACTTGTCGCTGAGATCTTTTAAGTAATTTCATGTAAGAAGTTGGAGTACATGGGAGATTTTTAGTTTTTATGTCGTTGTTACCAGGACATCGGAAAACGCAACAGCGAAGAGTCAGTACACTATTATAGCGAACACGTCGGACCCGTTCTCTGAAGGCACCGTTCACAACGTCACTGAGATCCACCTGCATCCCGATAAGAAGCTGGTGCCTGAAGTAGGCAATGTCACGAAGCCCTTTTCGGCCTTCAAAGGTTTCTGCAATTTTGTACATCAACAGGTCTCAGTGGGCAGGTACCTGCGCCCAAACCACTCAGGACACTCGAAAATCAATTATGTCGTTCTGTTGTATTGGAAGCTTCGTCCTAAGTTCCTACTGGGAGATTGAGAAATTTGTGTAGATGTTATTTTTGAATGATTTATGTAAAGTTTGATATTAACAAACCAGACATGAAGTGGCGCGTAGTCAGCCCGACGCTGGCCATGTTGCGTGTGGTGCCGCCTATAGAGGTGGAGGTGGTAGACATGGTCACCGCTTTCGTGCCGCCCAAGACTGACGTCATGGTCTACGGATGGATGCTCAAGAAGGTAGATACAAATATCTTCTTAATTCTCTATGTATAACGTAGAATATTAAGTGAAAGCAGTATATAGCGCAACGGTGATATGGAATATGGAAAATCGCGAATTGTGAGTCCGAAGTGATTGGAATCAACGACGGTGATTAATAAGAAGAAAAACATCGTAAGCAAAACTGTACGAACCCAGTGTATTAAACGACTTTTTTTTTATTGTGATATCAAGTGACTGGACAAGTCAATAGCGGCCTTTACATAAACACTCTATCGCGCGTGTTACAGTTATCGTGTACGATCTTTCCGTTGTAACTAAAACGGACACGAACATTCGCGCGCGAAAGAACGTTAGCTTAAAAAATCGCGCGATAGAGTGACTGTGTAAAGGGGGACAACCGTGCGCCTGGTGGTAAGCGACACGCCTACCCGTTACAGTTGCAGTGTCACTCAAAGCTTTAAATCACAAAGATTTTATTGCGCCTATCTCTCTGAGACATAAAGTTTTCGAGTCCCATGTGCATGTAGTTTCACCAGCACCTGTAGGTAATCCTCATATTATACTGCTTGACGGCAGAAACAGGTATGGTGGCAGTTTTCTGGAATAACCTTGACAAACTGCTACTGCGAGAATTAGTTTGATTTTTGAGGTTAAACGAGGTTTTGTTAGGTTGTGACAAACCGTACGTGTTGCAGAACGATTCCGAACACGAATACTTGCGACAGACGTCGTTCGCGGCCAAGACATTGTCCCCGCGCGAGTGTAAAGTCATGCAAAACATGTCCACGGCGATGGTCTGCTTGTTCCACGAAGGGAATAAACAGTTTAGCGAGGACTCCTCTCAATTCTGGGTATGTGTTTACAGTTTTCAAAGAATCTTTCACAGTTCTGCTTATGTTGGTTACACCACATAACGGACCTGAAAGATCGCAAATTAATTCATACTTTAGTAATACTTGCTGTTACTTTTTATTCGTGATGAAGGAGTGGAATGATACTCGTTAAGATAATTAAAAACTTTTGGCCAATATACACCATATGTAGGTACTTGCGGTCACAAGTCGATGGCTTTCTAGAATAGCGACGTATCCCAAAATCACCTATTTAGGAAGATAGTTTAAAAACAGCTGCAGAATATCTAAAATGCAAAGTCGACAAATCGTAAACAGTGCCTCGTTAATAAATATTTTAAACAATAAAGGCGGCCTCCCACCGCCCGTGGCCACCCGTGCCGTGGACAGAGGGCCACCCTCGAGCGCGCCCGTGGTCACCCGTGGCGGCCTGTTCGGATCCGTCGCTGGTCGGTAACTTCAAAGGCACTCGATACATTCTCGAAAACGGGCCGGCTCGCGCGTCGCGTCGCGTCCCCATACAAATCGGCGCGTTTGACATCACGGGCCGTGAGAACGCACCTTATGAAGCGCGATGTTTTTTTTTTCACAATAAAATTTAGCACATTCTCCACACTCCAAGTGGCAAGTGACGTTCGTGGGCCTGGTGGTAAGCGACAAGTCCCATGTGCCCGCAATTTCACCAGCACCCTTACCCTTCCAAACCGGAACGCAGTAATGTTCACATTACTACTAAAACTGTTTTGATCACTACTCCTGAAAAACAGCTACGCGTGTCATGACCCTTAACCGCGGAGTTAGTTAAAATATTGACGGTCAATTAGTAGATTTAACAAGTTTTGTAACGATACAGATAAATTTATTTCAATATAACTTAATCTAATTCCATATAAGGGAAACAAATGTAAATAAAGCCATTTTAGTATTAAATAAGCAGGGAACCTAAATTGTACAATCTTCGTAGTAAAGGTTATACATTTTAACATTAGAACCTAATGTGTAATTGCGATACTTAAACTAAGTAAATATCTATCTGTATTTAATTCATCTTTTTGGGCAAATTTCTTTATATTACATCTTGAAAACAGATTAGAACATCTATTTAACAATAAAATAATTAATAGTTACCTATAAATTAATGGTTATATAAAAATAATTATCAAACAACTTCTAACAAGCCCTGTGTTTCATTGTAAGTTTTACTCTTAACCCAGAATTTGACGGTCTTTTTACATTGCATTAGAATTTAGGGTTGTCAACGATTATTTTAATGTGAACTGTTATGGCCAACTTGCAGATGAGCTCCGGTGGTCCTGTGCTGACCCTGAACCAGGGCGTGGTGAAAGTGCTGGGAGTCGCGAGGACCGAGCAAAACCTGCCCTCGGCCATCTTACCGCTCGCCACCCACGCGCACTGGATCAACCATCTCATTTTTAATAAATAAATGATTAATAAATAATACATAACAATTGTTTTATAAATGTTGCCTTTACATGTGGAAACAGTTAATGGTTTTGAATGTTTTTGTTTTTAACGACTTCAAAAAGGAAGAGGTTCTCAATTCGACTGTTTCTTTAATGTATCGTTGTTATAGCGTAACCATAACTCCGGCTATAACTATTTGAGAATACATTTTGATGGTTTTTTTTGTATACCTCAGATGTGGTCCCATTTAAATTTGAAGAAAATATTCCACCTATATGGATGGCAAACTAGGGGATGAATGACTTTTGAGGTCGGTTTTTTTAGTACTCTGTACTGAGATTTTGTACTTGCACGAAACTAGTTTTTCATTCAATTAACATTTTATTATATAACAATCATTACCTTAAATTCTCCTTAAAATGATTTATTTAATTTTTTTTGCACAATACAGGAAAAGATTTCTTTATCTGTCAACCATAGGGCCAAACAAAAAAACAATAGGTTAGTGCTACATTTAAAATGAACTGTATTAAAAAATAAGTTGATTCACGTTTCAAAAAGTTTGATTCTTTTACTCAGAAGTGTTATGTATCAGCATGGACCAATTACTCAGAGAACCTTAGAAGATGGGAAAAAATAAAGGAAAAGAGGACTACTAATAGCGATACAAGACTGCGTACTCGGTTATTTAGTGCGTATTTGGTACAGCACTCGTAGCGAAGAGTACCAGATAGCTAATTTTGTAACTGATTTGTTTTACACTGACAAGCTGGGAATAAAACATACTCTACTGTCTAGTGATAACGAACAAAACAACTAGATGGCGCTTATTGCACAGATTTATATGGATAGTATCAGTTATTCTTTTATTTTGTTTAGGATCAGCGCCTATTGGTTATCTCCTAGCCATTATTATTTACAGCTTTACCAACTTCACAGACGATTTAAAATAATAGATTCGCCACCCCGAGATAGAAAGGATTAGAGATGAAACGGATAGTGCCTTGGCGGAATACCGGATATCCGGCGCGCATTTAAGCTGGATAGCCGGATATCTGACCCATTGCCGTAAACATGTCGCTATCGGTTTATAGTGCGCATCGTCGTGATTGATTAATTAGTGAATGATTGCATTTAAACATTGACGAATTGATTTGTTGTGGTCACTTGGTTTTTATTAAAAATATTAATTTATTCGATAACACAATTGTTTGTATATACGTAACAGAAAAAGTCAACAGTGAAAAACAATTGCAAATTTGGCAATATATTAACATCAGTGTTTTTGGCAATATAATAACTTCATAGTTGTTTCAGTTACAAGTAATAAACATAACATGTCAATGATTCTGTAGCTACTATAAACGTATAAATATTAGGATAAATCCTATTACTATCATATTTAATGAATAAATAGAATTACTTGGCGTAGTGGTTATAAATTTTTCTGAGTTTTAAACATCCGATATCGGGACGGATATTGTGCTACTATCCGGTATCCGACCGGATAGTAAAAATAGGTAAAAAATAGGGATATCCGTTTCCTCTCTAGAAAGGATGTACATATTACAGACAAAAGCACATCACGATTGACACTTAAGACTTAAATCCAACTGTATTTCGCTTACGATAAGAACGATCCAAAGTACAAAGTGTCAAGCTTGATGTGGTCATGACTGTACAAGGCAATTTGTTATTCATGTGACATTATTTATTATAATTGGGTTGAATTGCCCGTGGTTCACCCAGGTGAGACAGTCAACTGTCTGGCGAAGGGAAATCAAAGCAGGCTTTTTACGTAATTAGATAAATAACTAAAAAGATATTGAAACTATGTTTGTAAATTTCGTTTTTTATTCTTTATAAACTTTGGCGTTTACGCCCTTTCTTCTACCAATGTGAGCGTCACTTGTAGTGTTGGGTCAAGGAGAAATATTCGTTTTGAAAAAATCTTACACACATTCATTCCAGACGTTGCCACCGGTCAAAAGTTGAAGTTACTGAACGAAAACTATGATTGTTTTTGTATGCTGTTGTGCAATTTATTTTAAATCTCGTTTTTCTTTAAGCGGCTTCTAGCTGTACAAGATTGTTTTATAATTCACTCTAAATAAAACTTCAAAAGATATTGCTAAACGTATAGAACATAATATTTTATAAGCCTCCGAAGTACATAGATATCGTTGCTTCGAAATTATATTTTTAAAATTTTTCCAATTTACCGGGATTTTTTCCGGAAAAATGTCCACTGTTTGAAATTTTTCGGATAATTACCCAACAGTAGTAGCTTGATACCAGGCGCACGACTTGTTCGTCCCATCTCATAAAAAAAAGTAATCATTACCTATTCATATTACTCAGAATAAGGTTTCCTCAAGCATCACATAGGTATCGTAAGCGGTATGTGCTCATGTGTTACATAACCAAGGGGTTAACTTAATAAGCGGCTCGTGAAAGAGTATATTTCTTACGTCTGTGACGGTGTGACCTCGTTACGTCGTCATCCCACCTTTTTATCTTGTCCGGTTCCTGGCCACTCGTATTTAAATTTAGATTTTGAATTGTTCCATAGCTCTTTTGCCTCTGATTTTCGCATTCTGATTTTATTCGTTTAACTGTCACTCCCTGCTCGATCGCGACAGCGTACGGAGCTGGTTATAATCTCAGTACAGAGTACTAAAAAACCGACCTCAAAAGTACGTGGAATTACGTCTATTTGCTAAGTTTTATTGAAATATTCCCTAGTTTGCCACTATACAAGACTTGACACTGGAGATAATAAAAATATGTAGGTTCTCCACTATGATGACACTACACAAAGTATATTGAGAGAAAAACGGCTTGAATTGGAGAAATAGCAAAATCAACCATTACAGTAATTGCTCCTAAATTGAAGTTAGGCGCTATTTATGAATATGAATCTTCATGCGTGAACAGCCAACCTTCGAGGTGGATGATTTTCTTCAAAATAAAATGGGACCACTATGGAAGTACCCCCTTTCCAACAAAAAAAGAATCATGAAAATTGGTACACAAATACCGGAGTTATCGCGTAACATACATACAAAAAAAAAGAGAAAAAAACCCTTTTAAGGGTGTCCACTTAATATTTTATTCATCAAGTTAGGAAGTGTAGTGTTTTATAATAATGTACCTGTTTTCTATATATAGGTACCTTTTATTGTTACAGCC